GCTCCTTGCCCAGCGCCGCGCCGGAGTGCACCGCCTCCAGTCCAGTGTGGCATTAAGTGCTATGTTATTTTAAACTCCCATTTACTTATTATTTTTTCCCCCCTCCAGCTGGATAAAACACAACGGACTGGAAGCACGGCCAAACCTCACCCTCTTCTTGCAGGAGAAAAGGGGCAGCGTCCCGGCCGCTTCACCCAGGTAGGGGCCGGGCGGGCGCAGCCGGGGCAGGACCCGGTCCCGGAGGTGCTGGCCGCGTCCTCCAGCGAAGGGCAGCGCTAAAAATATTCCCGTTTTATTTGTTTTTCTTTCTTTCAAGGTTCACGATGTTGACAGCTATGTTCTTGGCTGCTCTCATTCTTATTACAGTACATTCGCAGGAAACTGAGGAAACCATAACATACACGGTAAGGTTTAATACAGTTTGAGATAATTGCTGCTTTGCAGGGATTCTTTTCTAAATGACCCTTAAGAAAAACCAAATTTCTTGCCAATGTATAGCATGCAATACAAAGTTCTTTGAGTGTTAACCATAAAATAAGCTGTTCCTGCACTGAAACAGCATTTTAAAGTTGATGTTGACAAGATTGAGCAAAATAGGCTACAACTGCCTGCTCTGAAAAGTTTATCTGTGTACTGAGCTTGATGAGCTGAACAAAATTATGAGGTTTTAATACTTTTTTAAATTCATTTGCATAAAGATAGGGTCCCTAGGACCTTCATTTGAAATATATGGAATTTGACAGATAATTAGGTCAAACATTCTTTTGTGTTTTCTTTTGGATACTTCAAGCTGTTTTTAACAAATGTAAGTACTTCAAAATTCAGTACTCCTAATGAAGCATCTAGGTCCTGGAGTGGTCATAGGACTGTTAGTTTCTGAGCTGGTTTTGAGTAGTAGTTTTGCATGGCTTGATAAAATTGTACAAGAATACTGGAAATAAGTTCTGCTTGTAACCAAGTGATAGGGTAAGAGATTTAAAGGCCTTTTTGTAAGGCTTTTTTTCTTTTAATCTGCTTGTATTCAGTCTTTGGCTTGCATAATGCATGTCATAGAAGGAGTGGCAATTACATCGGCTTGGGCTGGGGAAAAACCCGCATTTTCACATCTGATTACAGTTGTAATCCCTGCAACTTGCTTCATATGGGTGGACCTCTGAATATGTGTACAGACATTAGCGCAATGCCACACAAGCAGAAAATTCTGCACACATGCAAGAAGTTAGAGAACCACAGCCAAAGACTGAGATTGTCTTATACAAGTAATCCCACTGAAGTCAGTGGGATGGCTCAAGCAAGTAAATATTGCAGAGTTGGACCTTATCATAGAAGACGGGGCTCAAAGAATCCTCAAGTGAGCATCAGGAAGTCAGTCATAAAATACTTTAACATTGGACTTTAGAAGCAATAGATTTTTGAAGGTTGGGAGTACTTCTATTTAGAGGCTTCTGTGATTTTTAAGTCCCTATATATAAGTGGAAACTGAAGATCTAAATACCTTTTGAAAATCCAGACTAACATAGGGATCCCACCACCCTCCTTTTCTGCATTTGTTACATGTGGGTTTTTTTAAAAACTAAGTAGCACTTTCTGATAAGCCTACATAGTTCTGTTTATACCAATGGAAAATTTCTAGCATGCATTTCTAGGACTTGGGTTCCTATACTCCATTTTCAAAGTCGTCTTAGCATTTAGGTGCTTCAGTGATCATTAGACTCTAATCATGTAAAACTACTTAACAAAAAAGCTTCGCTTTTGGAAATTTTACTCTTAGGATGCTACTGTTTTTCATGCGTACGTTGTATTCATTTAGGGCCAAATCCTTTTCTATTGTAAAAGTCCCTTCAGCTGCAGTAATAGATGGACTTGGCTCCTTACAGTTAAATAGACAGTACTTCTGTTGTGCATTAACAGGAATTGGGTGATTCAGTAAACGCATGAATTAGCTGTTTTCCTTTGGGTTTGCATTTTCATAGCTACAGTAACTTTGGTGTTGTCAACTCAGCATGTAGTCATTCCTTCAGAGATTGAGAATTGTAATACAATTTGCTGTCCACTTACCCCTTTGGAAGAAAAAGCCTCCAAAGTTACAACTCGCTGCTACATTTGGCAGATCGCTGCTGTCACCTGCAAATGAAGAAAATATTTTCACTCCTAATGCTGAGTCAGTGTCCGTTAGTAACAAGTTCCTCAAAATAACTTGAGGATAGCACATGGAACAAGGGGATCTCAGTATCGGAAGATCAAATTTGTCACTTGTGTAGTTCCTCTGCAGCAGAGTAGTTGCAATAAGATTTAGGTTGCTTGACTGTGACTAATTACATTAGCCGACTCGATTCTTTTTTTCTATAGGGCCATTAAAGTAATATCCGAAGCAGCATAGCATGCATATGCACTTACATAGTAGAGCTCCGTTGATTCATTGATATTTTAAATGTCTCTGCTGCAGTTGGTAGCATTGTGATACTTTGCTAATCAGTTTCTGTAATTGTCACCTGCAATTGAAATTACTGCACTGTAGACAATTTAATGGTTTTGGGCAGAGGAATAATGATGATGCCTACCTAACTGCAGGGCAGAATATTTAAAATTCTTCCTGAAGTTACTAGTCTGCACTGATATGAATAGTTGCTGAGTATAGTCTTGTTTGAATTCTGCAAAGTCTTATTTATGTAAGTAGTCCCACTGTTATAAACTCTAACCGTTTATTGTATGTCTCACAATATAAATTGTTCTTCCTAGACTGCAGTTGCTGGAGTCATGTGATTAAAAAGCATGTGAATGAATTTCCAGCTGTCATGGGATCCTTCCCCATTGCTAGAGTGCTAATGGGGGAGAGGATGAAGTACAAGGGGATAGAGGCCCATCAGTCCCCCTGGGAAACCAGCCCCAGGAATGAAGGATGTTCACCTGTTGGAAGGCAGTGAACAAGATCAAAATTCAGAAAAACTTGCTTCTTTTTCATAAGAAGATTTTCATACTAGTCAGCTGGGTCGGTTCAGAGGTTCATTTATTCCAGGATTCAGCCAATGACAGATGCTTTAAAACAGCATATAGGAACAAGGCAAGGAGAAAGTGATGCTTTTCTCACTTTGTTCCCCAGCCCCAATAAAACCTATGTACTCACAACAAACGATATCTTAGGAACTTCCTGAGATAGAGGCGCTCTCTGTATTTACTTGTTGTTGTTCCTGCATGGCAATGCTGTACCAACAGCCATTTTTCTAGCTTACCAAGGAAATACAAACATTGCATTTCCCTTAGTGTCAAACTCTGAGTTCATTGAAATATGCTTGATTATTTTTTCAAAATAAAGAATCCCGAGTAGCCTAATTTTTTTTTTTTTCTCTATAGCAATGCACAGATGGCTATGAATGGGATCCTATTAGGCAACGGTGCAAAGGTACAGTAAATAATTTTCAAAGACAGACTTGCCATTGGTATTCTTTAAGTATTATCATTACACACCCCTGTTTTGGACAAGGAGGTGTGCTTGCATGTCTCATTGTGTTATTTGTATTAATGGCTGTTGCAGAAGGTTCGACTGTTAAAAGCATGACTTGTGTTGTTGCTAACCACAGATATTGATGAATGTGAAATAGTCCCAGATGCATGTAAAGGTGGGATGAAATGTGTTAACCACTATGGAGGATACCTCTGTCTACCCAGAACAGCACAAATTATTGTAAATGAGCGAGAAGAAGCAGCAGCTGAATCCACTAGTGGTCGAAACAACGTCATTCGACGGACTCCAGCTGATCCTCACCGTGCCCCTCCAAACCCAACTCATCAAATCCAGTGTGCAGCTGGGTATGAGCAAAGTGATCACAATGTGTGCCAAGGTAAGCAAGCTGCTGTATGTTTTACTTTCAAGTATAATTGGAGTGTATGTGATAACAAATCTAATACCTGGAAAATGACAGACTAACTCTTGCATTTAATAGCATATATTGTTGCACCATTAAACTGGACACGTATGCGCTTCCTTAAAATATGTAAATAAAATATATACATGTCGTTATTGTTCAAGGTAACAGAACTTGCAGTTTGTTGCAGCCTTACAGTCTATTCCATCTGTTTCAGCCTAACAAGTAGAATTAATTCTGTTGTCTGTAGATCCTCAAAAAAACCCCTTAATGCAAGTAAGCAACTGTAGTCAAACATTTTGTATCGTATTAAGTATGTCCAGAAGAAGAAGTGCTTTGAAAAAAGTAGGCAACATAGCAAGTCATATTATAGATGATTTCTAAAGATTTGCAAAACTATGTATTTCTCAGTATGTGGATGCTGAATAGAACAAAAATTAACCACATATGAACTTTTGCTTAGACCTGACTGTAATGCAGAGGAATACAGTGTTTTTATTATGTATGATCAAGCAGTAGGAAGCAAACATCTGAACAGCTTGTGCTCTTCTGATCTCTGTGGAAGTAGTTCTACGCAGGCCCTGCCAGCTTACTTCCAGTCATAGTCTAGCCAGTCTCTGAAACTATGGCAATGAAGAGCTTTCATCTGAGTGTACATACACCACACACAGTGCCAAAATTCTCAGGGTATTAGCAGTGTTAATTGTATGCATTCAGGAACCAGACTCACAAGCACTACTGTAAACTAAGACTGTTTCATTTATTATTTTATATAAATAGTTTACTCTTATACTTGCTGAAGTAACAAATGTTTCATCCACTGTTTTGTTTTCTTTCATAAAAACATACTCTATTCCTTGTTCATAAACTTGGTTTTCAAGCACGTTAGTGGGATACCCATGCAAACAGAGGGCAAAACTTGACCCCATGGTTCATCTTTTCCACTTTGTGGCCCATAACAGTATAATCATATAAAATAGTACTTGCGTGACTATAATCAGGGCAAGCTGTAATATACAGTGGTAGTTCCTTTCTCTCTGGTATTCATGTATACAGAACATTATTTATCACTAGTAAGTAAATTCCCTGTCATTCTGAAGCATAGTAATCATCATGGAGGCTGGATAAGTTATTTTTGTAGGCAAAGCCTCAGAGTTGCATTTCTGACTTATCTGCTAATGTTCAACATTTCTGTCACTCTAATTCAAGAATGTCAAGTAAAGAAGCTACCGCAGGAGGTCAGTACCACGATCCCCTTAACCCTGAGCGTTCGCTTAGGGTTATCGAGGGAAAAATCAATGCCAAGGATAGCAAATGTTTTTTTCCTTAGTTTAACGTAGCAAAGTAGCAGCAGAACCAGGAACAGAATACCGGACTCCTGTGTTTGATCCGGCACTCCCTCCTTCAGGTGATGCTGCATTATTGGGCTGGCACTCATCTTCGCTGGTGAATTGCAATCAACTGCGTGTAACAACATTTTTGTTTGATGGAAAATGCAAGTAATGCTAGAAACATTCCAAACATGAACATCACTTTTGCTACAATGGCTTTGGGTGTATAAATCAGGGATAACATAGGAAAGTTTAACCATGTGTAGTACCAATACCTTATATTCCAAATAAAGGTTGAGAGTTAGGGTTAACTTAAGAGACTGACAACTGGCTAAGGTTTTTGTTTTGTTGAGAAGATTGGTGGTGATACATTACTATTATTTTACTCCATGATTTGGCTTCCTGAAACTTGCAACTAAATATTTATATTCAATTCACAAATCTTTGGTTAATTTATAACAACAACTAACTGTTGTTATAGTACCAGAACTTCTTAACTAGCAGACGCACAAACTATGTTGAAATCTTGGGCTTGACTGAATCACAGTTTTGCTACTAATTTCCTCATGCCAAAATTTCAATCTAAATGCAGAAAGCATGGAAATATTAGTGTTTAAAAGCTGAAATGTATTGTACTGAATGAATTCCAGCTGGAAAAGGGGTAGTGGACAGTGTGCTCGAAAGAAAGGATAAAAGACTTTTGGAGCACTTAAAGCAGGCATTCAACTTCATGATCTTCATGCTTTTCACTGCTGAAAATATCTTATAAAAGATAATCTTGATCATCAGTGGTCCCACTGTGGATTTATTTAATTATGGTTAAAAGACTTTGCTATGATAACTGCTTGAGGCTCCTAGGGAGTGTAACTTACACATATAGTCACACTTAAGCTTGTTTTATTGTTTAGTAAATCACATATGAAGTCCAGCTCCTTCTAATTGTTTGCAGATGTATGACATTTTCCTTCCAGTCCAGCAGCACTAAGTATTTTATAACCAATGTGAAAGTGTGGAGACCTCTGTTTAAAACAATAACATGCTCTGAGGAGCTGTATTACTGACATCATACTAGAGTATGAGGGGCCTTCTGTTTTAATAAAAATGTCCACTCCCTTTTTAAACATTGAATAGTGAGGGTATGATAGGCCAAACACACTCATGTTGGTTTCTGTGCTTGGAATAAACACTCATAAATGACACTAGTCCTGTTGGACTTTAAGAGGCTTCAGTGATGTGCTGAGCTGCTTTGCTAGGTAAAGCACGATGCAGCGTGGCCAGATCCTACTTTTATCGACAGGAATGAGAAACATTCAGAGGCGCATGATTCTCTGCACTTCTTAATCCATCAAAACATGACCATATGCCTGAGTTACAAAAGATACTCAATACCTTCTTAGAAAACAAGTGACGACTACAATATTTACCAGTGTTGAGAGTTTTCTGTCTGCAATGCATGCTGTTATTTATTAGAGACCACGTAGCACGTGAATAGCACAGATGGCATGTTGATAGCAAAGCACACTCCTTCAGAAGACAACTCCACGGAAATGACTGCAGTTTCCTATGATATACATCATTTTTATAACTACTAGTGATCAGAAACATGCTTTTGTATAACTGTGTTGATATTAGAAGTATGGGTAGCAAAAATTTCCTAGGAAATTCTTAAGATACTGTACATGAACAGTAAGTGCCAGGAACCCCCAAAACTGATGAAAAGATGAGAGGAGGTTATTCTGGAGGAAGATGTCTTACGTAGAAGATGTACAGAGCGCCGAGTTTTGTGCTTCAACTTAAAACACTTTGACTGTATCTTAAATTCTGAGTTTATGACCTTAACTATTCCCCCCTCTCCCCATCTCTGTATAGTCAGTTCCCACTTCACTGTCACTTCTAAATTTGCCTTTAAGTCAAAGGGCTGCTGAATTGGTCACTAAGGTAGAGTCCCATATGTGGCACCTGCCAGCACTTTCAGGAAGCCGCTCAGATGTTCTGACCTGTCATTGTGAGAGTATCACTCAAAGTGGGAAAAGCAAAAAACAGAGTAAGAAATATTTTTAAGCAAACTACTGAGTTAGCTAATATTCACAGACACTTTTTGCCTGATAAATACATAAATAGCTGCACTCTGTTGCCTGCATACAAGACTGAATTTTATTTCTACTGTGTTGTTAGGCTCTCTGTGATTTGAGTCTGCTCCTATTGAAGTCAAAAGAAAATCACCCAATCAATTCAATTTTGTCAAATCCAGTCTGCAAGAGACTACTAGCTTTTCCTAGAATGTTAATGACACTTGAATGAAAAAAAGACCAAGCAAAGGTACCAAATAACCTGTAAACTTGAGAAGGGAAACAAACTTTTTTTTTGCCTTCCTATCATACTGGCGATAGAAGCAATAAAGTAAGCAAACTTTTTTGCTCCTCAGCTAGATCAGCTTCCTATATTTCTCTAGTCTCCTTATAACCCTTTGTGCTACTGTGACTGTAAAATACAGGGAGGAGAGAGGTTGTAATAAGAGATATCAATGCTTTCTTATATGGAAAAAACAGACACATTTTCCAGATAGTTCTTGCCTAGACTTGGTGGACGTTGGTTGCTTTTTTCCTTCCCTGGGGGACAGGGGGAAGGAATTAACTTGTTTTCTGTGCTGTGGTTATTTTTCCCCTGCAAAATCATTTTAGGGATGTCTTCATTGGTAGGGGTTAGGTTTTTTTTTTTTTTTGTTTAATTTTCCGGTACTTTTCAAAGTAACTTACCATACTCAATGTAGGCTTTTACCTCAAGAAGTTGCCTAAGTGTAAATAAGTTAAATGAGCCTAAATTCTTCTTTTTTTTTTTAAGGAGAGAAGGACAAGGAGAAGCAGTTTATGATGTTTTGTTTCCCATACAGCAATCACTTTATATTTTTTCTATATATGTATCAGGGATGTGCAACTAGCATAAAAAGGACATAAAAATAGGGTAAGTGCAGGTGCACTCAGCCTGGCCCTTTGCAGAACCAGTTCAGGTTGGAGAGTCTGGGTGTGCCTCCGGCAGGGTGCTGCTCTTTGACATTTTGGCTGGGGTGCAGACTGCACTTTTGAAATGCACCTCCTAATGAGCTCCACTTAACGTGCTTTGATTTGCCTCAGTGAGCGGTCTTGGAACATGCAAACAGATCCCATTCAGATGAAACTAAACCTGAAATGCACTGCAGGAGTGCTGCTAATACGCCACAACCACTAACGAGCATTCAGGCTCCAGGACCAGACCAGAGAGAGCCCAGAGACCCTCAGAAATGCATGTACTGGGACATTGGAGCCTCTGTACCAACTTCTAATCTGCTCCAATGGGTCCACACTATTGCTAATATAGACATAACCTAAAATACACCTATAATAGTTTCTTAGGCTGGCCCCAGAAATGTTTTGGGGAGCCTTTTGTAAACTATTACCTGTAGTTAGAAGAGTACGGCATCCTAGGTTTTCCCACTTCTTGTATTTAAGGAGTAATGCTTTCAGGACTGCTTTTAAAAGAGCCCGAGTTGTGACAAGTTTAGTTCCAGAGTTGTTCCTCTCAACAACACAAGACCTGTTTAGTTTGAGGAAAGGATGAGGAGAGAGGCTGTGGTAGAAAAAATAAGGTCTAGTTATCTGGTTTAGGATG